TATTCAGTACAGCCTTTCTAATTACTTGTCCAGATTCCCTTTACCGTGGGCTATGTTGTGATGTTGGGCTTTCAATTGTAGGCTATAGATCGACTCGAAAAAAACACAAAGTTTTCGGTCCACATCATCCCATAATGATTATCTGGTCATCACCGAAAATTATAGGCGTTGTCCTTGACCATAACTTAAATAATAGCTGAGTACATAAGCACCTGTAAATATGTATGTGTAACTCCCACATCCGAGTTAAAGGTCAACCACTCCTCTTGGATATTATATCAACTTCTCGGGTCTACCTCCTTCAGGAGTAAATATATACGCCATAGAATACAAATTTTGTCATTTCTCACACAAAAGTCAGAGTCCATTTGAACCGCTGAATATTGGCCAATCTTTACGAAAAGAGTCATGCTTATTCTTTGGCCCGATCCTCTTCTCCATGTAAAAACTCGCGATGTTTGGGTCATAATTGCGGCCTCTGGAGCGACCAGAAAAAAACAACAAAAGTTAAGTATTTGGTTCATTTCATCCCCTAAATATTAACCGATTGGGTCTAGGACCAATACTTCCCGGCGCTACAAACTCCGCATGGCCGCATGGCGTGGATTTGAAAGTCATATTTTTTGATGAGGTTACGAGACGTGGATTTAAAAAATATATTTTTTTGAAAAATAAAAGAGTCTGCATTTAAAAAAAAAAAATTAAGAAATCACAAATCCTGGAATTTTATAAACATATTTTTTGAAGAATCCACAAATCCTGGACAAAAATTCCCCAGTGAAGCATAGGTTTTCTCTACAAAAACGGCCACAGTGAAATTGAGTCTTCCTTGATTGTCCTCGAATGTTCTGTAGAAACATAGCCTCTGTGTAACTGAGTGCGTAGAGGAGGGTCTGCTATAGAAAGAGAGCCTATGCTATACGAAAATGCCCTTTATAAACAGTACACCTTTCGTAGGTCTTCCATAGATAGAGGAGTTCCGATCTGAACTTTCCAAATTTACAGAAGAGTTTTGAAAGTCTTCTGTTGTCAAAAGACCTCTCGAAGTTCGTCTATACAAAAATTCCCCAGTGAAGCATAGGTTTTCTCTACAAAAACGGCCACAGTGAAATTGAGTCTTCCTTGATTGTCCTCGAATGTTCTGTAGAAACATAGCCTCTGTGTAACTGAGTGCGTAGAGGAGGGTCTGCTATAGAAAGAGAGCCTATGCTATACGAAAATGCCCTATAAACAGTACACCTTTCGTCGGTCTTCCATAGATAGAGGACTTCCGATCTGAACTTTCCAAATTTACAGAAGAGTTTCGAAAGTCTTCTGTTGTCAAAAGACCTCTCGAAGTTCTTCTATACACAGAAAAGGTAATTGTTTTGCATGTCTATAAGCCTAAAGAAGGCCCCACACAGATAGCTAGTAGAATAAAAATAGTATAATTAATCGAAATTATTCTACGGACGAAAGTCTTTTCGAAGGACTCCGAACTCTCAAACATACCGAAGGTCTTTAATAAAGAATTCACAAATCCTGGAATTTTATAAAAATATTTCTTGAAGAATACACAAAGTCCGGGGTTTTTAAATAAACTTAAAGAACTAATAAGTGCTGAATTTTGTAAGAAAAATATTTTGAAGAACTCGGAAGGCGTGGATTTGAAACAAATAATTTTGGAAGGGCCCAAATATACGATTAAAAATTATCCTGAAGAGGTATATTAGGTCTGAAAAGATATTCTGTCTATAGAAGAATACATAGATGACCTTCAAAGACCTCTATGTATTCTACTATAGACAGAAACCTTTATCGTTTTTCAATTACTTCCAAACGTTCTCATCATTAGAAGACCCTCTTTCCGACCTCCATAAAAATAAAAACAACAACAACATGAAAATTTAAATAAATTAAATTCAAGAAACCCAAAAAAAAAGAAAAAACGAGGTGAAAGAAAAGAAAACCATTTCGTTTACACTTTCAAATTGAAATACACGATTTCAATTTCAAACAAAATTACAAAAAAAAAGAAGAAGAAAACAGTATCGAAGTATACAAAAAAACTTACCTTTGGAAATTTTGTCTTTTTACATAATTCTCACGAACAAAATCAATAATTTGCTTTTGTGTACGACCGCTATAACTAAAAATGTTTACAAGCAAAAAAACGAAAAATTGAAAACAAATTAATATATTTTTTGGTTAAATATATAAACAAACAGATTACAGATGGTGAATTTGCATGGTTGAACATTTGATGGGATTCAGAGACAGGGGTGGGTGGGGTTGTACAAATTGTACTTAACAATTAACATAGAAAACAACTCCTCCGGAGAATACTTACCGAAATGAACTGCCACGTGACATGACACGGGCCTTACGCCTGGGCGTACTTTGTACCACTGTGCAACGGAAGAAACCATGATTTTCAACACATTTTTTCCAAAAGTTTTTACACTGATTACGACCGGGAAATAGAAATTCCACAGTGTTATTATAGTAACCCTGAAAAAGAGCGGAGATTTAATTTCAAATTCTGAAATTTCAATTCACTTCGTCTACTCACATAACCCTCGGGATGTAATTTAACTAGGAATCGTTTTCGCTTAAATGATATTTTCCGTATCTTAGCCCATGAGAATGTATTGATGCGTGTTAGATTCTGGAAGACTGCTATACCCATGTGAGCTACAGATAGATTTAATGGCATATCATCGTGATCCTTGGCCGGATGCATTTTCATGCCATATAATTCACAACGTCTGGCCGTTTCTAAGAGATTTAAATCGGCCTCAGCTGGGGATTGGCCACTGTAATAAAAACAAAAATCATTTATTTAAAAAAAAAGGTCTTCAGGGGAGGTGTTCCGATACTTACACATGTTTCTTATGATTTTCCATAATTTTTATTTGCATGGCCTCATCCTGATTGGGTACAAAACGATACGATGACAAGTATGTGTGATCGGGATAATCTTCAGCCACATAATCACCACACGAAGCCTGTACAATATAGCTGGCCATAAGGGCGGCGGTATTTTCATTACATTGCAGGCTGCCCGTGGCAAGGTCACGTTTTATTTGGAGGCAAAAGAGATACCTATGGGAAAGGAAGAGAGAGAAAACAAATTAATATAACAACCACAACCAGATAAGATTAGGGACTTTCATAGAGGTCCTAGATATTTTTGTCAATGGAAATGACAGGCCTCAGTGGAGCTGAGGTTCTAGAGATTTTTTGCTATAGAAAGAAAATAGACGTCAGTGGAAATGAGGTTCTAGAGATTTTTTTCTATAGAAAACAATAGTCATCAGTAAAGCTGAGATTTTTTCATAGAAAAAATAGCCTTCAGAGAGGGCTATAGATCTATTCTATAAACAAATCTATAGCCCGCTTCTGCGGAACTGAGGTTCTACAGTTTTTTTTTTCTATAAACAAAGATTTCCCTCGAAATTTTTTCTATAGAAATAATTAGCATCAGTGTAACTGTAGTCCTTGAGATTTTTTTCTATTAAAAGCATAGCTTCACTGTCATTGAGGCCTTAGAGATTTATTCTATAGAAATAAAGGACTGGATGGAACAGAGGACTGGGAGATTTTTTTTTGTAGAAAATAGGTTCTAGAAATCATTTTCCCTTGAAAAAAGCCTTAAATAGAACGGAGGTCCTAGAGATTTTTTCTATAGAAAAAATAAGTCTTAGTGTAACTGTAGAAAAAATCCTTAAAATAGCTTCTAAAAAAAGGACTCACTGGATAGAAAAAAGACTCCTAAGATAATTTTCTATGCGACAAAAATGAGGAGCAGAGGTTCTTCAGATTTGTTCTCCACAAAAAGGCCACAGTGAAACTGTCTCAGCTGGCTTCAATAGAATTGACGATCAAGAGATTTTTCTATTAAAAAATATGCCCTAGATAAGCTGAGTCTAAAGAAATATTTTCTCTACAAAAAGAGACCCGAGAGCAGAGCTTCTACAGATTTTTTTTATCTACAAAAAAGGCCTCACTGAAACTGAGTCTTCCCTGATATTTATCCATTTTTTTTTTCTGTAGAAAAAATAGTCTCTGTGTAGCTGAGGCCCTAGAGGTTTCCTTTTTTACGGAAAAATTATCAAAAGTGTAACAGAGGTCCTGCAGACTGTTTTGTTTAAAAAACAATTCAGAGGAATAGAAGACTTCTTATATTTGGAGAAGTCCTTGCGCAGCCTACAGGAGGCCCCTAGCAGGTCTTATATGGACGATAGAGGTGTTCTATGCGCAGAAGTCTTATCGACAGTGTGCTATATAAATATGGCTTCTGCTGTAGTAAGCGGGCCTCTACTATAAACAGTACACCTTTCGTAGGTCTTCTATAGACAGAGGGCTTCCGTTCAGAACTTCCCAAAGCTCTTCCATATACATTAGTCTTTCGATCATCTGTCGACAGTAGAATAAATCAAAATTATTCTAGGGCTTCTCAAAGATCTACTACAGACTAAGGACCTCTCAATATTCTTCTATAGACAGTAGAATTATCGAGGGTCTTCCATAGATAGAGGATTTTGGAACCAGACCTCCCGAAGGCCTTTTATAGACACAGAAGATCCTCGAAGTTATTATTATGACAGAGAACCTGTTGAAATTTTTCTATAGACAGAATATTTCCAGAAGTTCATTTTACGACAGAAGACCTCTCGAAAGTCTTCTATAGACAGATCTCTCGAAAGGTCTTCCATAGACAAATGACGTTTCGAAGTTCTTCACTAAACGGACCTACAAACCGAAAACCTCTAGAAATTTGTTTATGGACAAAGGGTCTTTCGAAATTCTTCTATAGACGAAAGGTCTCTCGATGTTATTCCATGGTCAGAGAACCTCTTAAAGTTCTTCTATAGAGGGAGAACCTCTCCAAGGTCTCTTATATACAGAGGACCTCTTTATGTTCTTCTATGTACAGAAAATCTCTCAATGTTACTCTATGGTCAGAGGACCTCTAGAAGGTTTTTTATAGACAGCGGACATCTCGAAATGTTTCTATAGACAGAGGACACTTTGAACTTCTTCTATAGATATTTTTTATATACAGAGGACTTTCGAAGTTCTTCTATACACATTGGACCTTTTGAAGTTCTTCGTTATTTTACAGACAGAAAATCTCTCCAAGTTTTTGTATAGACAGGGAATCTTTTGAAATTGAAGAGAATACCTCTCGAAGTTATTCTAAACAGAAGACAGCTCGAACAGGGAATCTCTCAAAGCAATTCTATAGGCAGAAGACCTCTCGAACTTATTCCATAGATATTTTTTAATAGACAGAGGATTTTCGAAGTTCTTCTATAGACGGGGTATCGCTCAAAGTTCTTCTATAGACAGGGAATCTCTTGAAGTTCTTACATGACAGGGAACCTCTCAGTGATTTTATGGTCAAAAATCTATCTCAAAGGTCTTCCTTAGGAATAATACGTATAAAAAGGTCTGGGCATCGTGAAATGCCAAAGAAAAAGGCTAAGGCCCCCGGAATATTTTTTTCTATAGAAGAAATATCAAAAAACAAAAAAAAATCAACAGCTCCCACAGAAAAATGCAAGCAATCCTAAGAGAGTTTCTAGAGATTAAAGACCTCTCACAAATGTATTTTTGAAGGTGTAGTCTCTAAAATTTGTTCAGCTTCTATTTTCTATACATTTTGTTCTGTTTTCGTCAACTCTACCACTTCCAGCTGCGATGAATCTGGTGTATAGAATGCGTATATGAAAAACGCTTCTGACAAGATAACCCGCCTAAAAAAGCCTGAGTTACGATGGGGTTCCAGAGATGCCCAAGAAAAAGACTAAGGCTCCCGATGTTTTTTCTATAGAATAAATATCCAAATAATCTAAATCTTCCATAGCAAAAGACCGACAATCTCCCAGAGAGTTCCTAGAAAAGAACATCTCTCAGGTTTTTTAAAGGTTCAGGACCTCTAAAACTTCTTCTAATTCTAAGTTCATAAAAAAAATTATCCTTATTTCAGAAAACTTACCTCGTATATTCCTCCTCCAGCTGTGATGGATCTGGTGTATAGAATTTGACGCAAAACCTTAACATCGGATCGACAAGGGATAGACCAACCTGGCGATTTAGCGACTTTTCCAGATCTAGCCAATATTTGGTTTGTGTGGTCTTCTCCTGATATTCCAGACCGAAATAGTCCGATTCCAAGAGATTTAGTTGGCGGCAGACTTGTTCGAATAGTACGCGACCCAGTGCTTTGGCCTATAAGGGGAGAGATGAGAAGAGAAAAAGAGAGAAAATTATTAAAAAATTAGTTTATTTTAAAGAAGAGAAGCAAGAATTTTTTTCTTCTGCCCATAGCAGATCTTCCCTAGGGTCTGCTATAGAAAAATGTCCTCTGCTATAGTAGGCGGGCCTCTTCCATAAAAAGTACACCTGTCGTAGGTCTTCCAAACCTAGAAAAATATCCTCAGGTCTTGCAGAATTTTTTCGTTCTTTCTTTGAAGGGAACTGCGGTTTCTCCGATTTTAAATTTGTTCCTTCGCGAAAAGACAAACGTTCTCACAGAAGATCTTTCAAAAGGTGATTAAGCTTCCCAAAGGGGCGGAAGACTTCCCGAGGATTTGCTATAGAAAGAGGGCCACGGCAATAGTAAAAGGGTCTCTTACATAAACATTACACATTTCGCAGGTTTTCCATAGCCAGAGGATATTCGAACCGGAAAAAATAACATCTGTGTAACTGAGGTCCTAGAGTTTTTTTTTCAATAGAAAAAAAAATAACCTCAGTGGAACTGAGGTCTCGCAGATTTTTTTCTAAAAAAAAAGCGCTTCAGAGGATCTTCGGTTTTTGCGATTTTAAATTTGTCCTCGAGAAGACAAATGTTCTTAAAGAAAATCTTTCAACGGTCCAGAAGCAGCCTACGGCCTCGGCTCTAGTAACAGTACCTCTTAAATAAACAGTATAACTTTTGCAGGTCTTCAAAAGACATGGGATATTCGAATATCATTTGTTTAACTGAGGTCCTAGATATTTTTTCTGTAGGAAAAAAACTATCCTCAGTGGGACTGAAGTCTTGTAGACTTTTTCTTTCATCACTGCGGTTTCTCCAATTATAATTTGTTTGCCCCCGAGAAGACAAAAATATCTCTCAAATATCCTTGCCTAGCCTACAGGAGGCCCTAAGCACAAGGCTTCCCGAGTGGCAGAAGACTACCCGAGGGTCTGCTATGGAAAGAGGGTCTCTGCTATCGGTATTTAAGGTGTTAATGTGCCAGTGGCTAATTTTTTAAGATGCCTAGCCTACAGGAGACCCCAAGCACAAGGCTTCCCGAGCGGCAGAAGACTTCCCGAGGGTCTACTATAGAACGAGGGCCACGGCAATATGGAAGAGGCCCACTCTTCCATAACCACTACACATTTCGCAGGTCTTCCATTGACAGGAGATATTCGAACCGGAAAAAATAACATCTGTGTTACTGAGATCCTAGAGATTTTTTCTATAGAAAAAAAAATATCCTCAGTAGAACTGAGGCCTTGTAGATTTTTTCTTAAAAAAAAGGCTTCAGAGGAACTGCGGTTTCTCCGATTTTAAAATTGAGTATCTCTCAAAGTTCCTGGCACAGCAGGCCTCTAAGAGATCTTCTATGGGCAGAAGACTTCCCGAGGATCTGCTATAGAAAGTGGGTCTCTGCTATAGATATTTAAGGTGTTAATATGCCAGCGGCTTATTTTCAAACACAAAAATAAATAAATAAATATTTAACATATTTAAAACATTTATTTATTTTTTTCAATATTTGTTATTGTTGTTATTAAATTGTTTAACTGCCTGTAAAGGCATTAATTAAAATCTCGTCATGGAACCAAACACCACACCATTGGGAGAGCTATTTAACAAACATAGCCCCTTCCTCCCCCCACACACAGAGAGTTCCAGTGTGCTAATGGCAATGCTGCAGTTGCTGTTGGGTTTTTGTTGTTGTAAATTTGCATCATTCCCGTCATAGCTGTGGCACACTTCACTGCACAGCATTCCAAAATAGAGTATTAAATTACCGCTGTTATTGTTGTTGCTGTTGCCATCTCTTTAATTAATTTGTTCTCAATTGGTTCAATGTTGTTGTTATTAATCGAAATGAAACATTAAATAAATATGCAATGACAATAACAACAATAAATATTATATGGAATGCATAAATTTTTAATTGAGGCCCATTTCAGAGATTCAATCAAAGTTGAAGATGACATGAATGTGTGGTCAAAGCCATTCTAATGATGGCTGGAACTAAATATGACAATTTGTATGTCTTTGACAATAATTAGCGTCGCATCGGCAATTTACAACAATTCACTTGTTTCACATGGTCGGTTGTTCGGTTGTTCTTTCTACATTTCTTTTTTTTTTTTTAAATAAAAATGTAGGTCAACGGTTTGTTGTTGTCGATGACAAATCTGATGACATCAAAAGAAATATTTGCTTCCAATAACAACCTTCCGAATACTGGGCATAACAAATTGGTCATTGAAGTGGTCGTCTTTAATCGATTTGTTGCCATCAAGTCACGGCAATTAAGTTTCATTGGTAGAGAGCTCAAGACAACGTCAATGCAATTGTTGCAACGTGAGGTCCAAAAGTATATTTTTTATTTATAGATGTGTGTCACGCAATGACATTTATTCAGGAAGAGGCATTAATAATTTAAATCGAAATGTCTTTTAAGTAAAAAATCGAAATCTCCAAACAAGCAAAAAAGAAAATGACATTAAGTTCGGCCGGGTCGAGATTTTTATATCCTCCAACATTGGTGTACATTCACAATTTCGTTAAATTGGTCGGTACATTTACATAGAGACTATGCTATTGCCTTATGAGATAGTATGTTGTTCCTGCATTCCATATAATAAAAAGTTTATCTTACAATAAAAACTATGACATTGATCCAACGGGCCACCCTGACATTAAATCCTGTGTACGTGTATGGTGGGACTTTTTTGTGTAGGCTACATGAAAATTTGAACTTATAAAGAAAATGTTTCGCAAAAATCAGTTTTACCCTCCAATATCCTGGAATGCAAAATTACAGCCACTACAATGGGAAAATGTGCCTAAGCCCTTAAAAATACAAACATCAACGCTCTAACCTTATATGACAGGGTTATATTAAAAGATGGACCTATATTCCATATTTTCTGTACATATGTGAGGCATATATGTCCGGCCATTTAATAGCAAATTACAACCACATTGGTGGGAAAATGCGGCTAGAGCCTTGAGAATATCTAAAATTGTTCATAGTATTTAATATGGGAGCTATACCAAAATTAGGAGGTAATTAAGTTGAAAAACGTGTCCAAACCTCCAAAAACGATAAAATACCTATATATGGGGGTTATCCTTTTTGGTAGAGGAGGTTATCCTTTGGGAGATTTCCTGCTCAGTCTTCTGAGGTGTATTTTTTCTATAGGAATATATTCCTCAGGCTCCTGAGTTTTCATACATTCCATGGTAAACTTAACTTTTCAGACAAACATGACGATTTTTTCCAGACCTCCAGGGCCTGAGAAAATTCTTTCTATACAAAGAACACACCTCAAGGCTTGAGGTGTCTTCTTAGTCCTTGGGGATGTCTTTCTTCTGTATAAAATATTCCTCAGTTGTAATTTTTCTATAGAAAAAAATCCATATGTATCTTTTTTCTACTGGAAAATTTCTCACATCTCTAAGGTGTCTTCTTTAACAGAAAAACAAATTCTCAGTTCTCTGAGTGTCTTCTTTCAATAGAAAAAAATACTCAGTTCCCTGAGGTGTCTTTTTTTTATAGAAAAAAGTCCTCAGGCCACTGGAGTGTCTTTTTTCTATAGAAAAAAGTCCTCAGGCCACTGAGGTGTCTTTTTTTATAGAAAAAAAAAATTGGTCAGAGTATCTAATATGGGAGCTATACCAAAATTAGAACCAATTCAGTTGAAAAACATGTCCAAACCTCCAACAAACGATAAAATACCGATATATTGGGTTATCCTTTTTGGTAGAGGGAGATTTCCTGCTCAGGCTTCTGAGGTGTATTTTTTCTATAGGAATACATTCCTCAGGCTCCTCAATTTTCATTCATTCTATGGTAAAATTAACTTTTCAGGCAAACATGACAATTTTTCCAGACCTCCAGGGCCTGAGAAAATTCTTTCTATACAAAAAACACACCTCAAGGCTTGAGGTGTCTTCTTAGTCCTTAGGGATGTCTTTCTTCTGTATAAAATATTCCTCAGTTGTAATTTTTCTATAGAAAAAAATCCATATGTATGTTTTTTCTACTGGAAAATTTCCCAGATCTCTGAGGTGTCTTCTTTAACAAAAAAACAAATTTTCAGTTCTCTGAGGTGTCTTCTTTCAATGGAAAAAATCCTCAGTTCCCTGAGGTGTCTTTTTTCTATAGAAAAAAGTCCTCAGGCCACTGAGGTGTCTTTTTTATAGAAAAAATTCTTTAGGTCACTGAGAATCATAATAAAATACTCCACAATTTTTTCTGTAGGAAAAAGACACCTCCGGGGCTTGAGGATTTTTTTCTATAGAAAAACAGACACCTCTGGGACCTTAGGCGTTAGGAGTGACAAATTTAATAAACACTCCACCTTGTCGTAGAGGGAATATTAACAGCCTTAGTAGAGGATGTAGTTGTTGTTTTTTTTTTTTTTTTTTTAAATAGCCTCAGTTGGACAGATATACTAGAGATTTTTTTCTATAGAAAAAAGCCTTTGTACAACCGGTCCGGAATATTTTTTCCTATAGAAAAAAAACAAATAATCTCGGTGTAACTTAGGACCGGAAGAAAATAATATAGGCAAAGTAGAATTGCGGCTTTGTAGATAAATCCCTCAATGAATAACCTTTAAGAGATCGTCTGCTGATAGAATACCATTCGGATGTCTTGTATGGACAAATCTATTTCGAAGGTCTTCTCTAGACATGGACCCTCTTGAAGTTCTTCTATAGACAAAAGACCTCATAAAGTTATTTTACAGACATAGGGACCTATCGTAGGTCTACTATATACAGATGACCTCTACATATTCTCTTATAGACAGTAGACATCTCAATGTTGCTACATGGTCAGAGGAACTCTAGAAGAATTTGCATAGACAGAGGATATCTGAAAGTTCTTCTATGGACAGAGGACATCTGGAAGTTCTACTATGGACAGATGACACCTACAAACAGAAGATGATCATTTTATAAAAAGAGGATTCTTCTCTAAGTTCGTCTA